TGGATACTGTTTCGAGCCTAGCTCCCCCTTAGCCTTTCACTTTGCACGATGTTTTTGTGGTCTTCTAATCTTCACATATATGCCATGGCATGAGAACACCACATACATATACCACACACACATATGCACAGGTTGAAAAAAAAAAGCAAAAGAACAATATCCTCTCCTGTTGCAACTCTTCTTAGATATACTATGAGAAATGAGGCTTTTCGAGGAGCCACTGGATGACTCGTGATCTCAAGCCTAAGGCTATGAAGTGAGATTGGGACTCACAGCCAATTTCCTATTTCGTAACTTTCACCATGGCAGGTGTTTGAAGAGGGCTCATTGTAACTGGGGAGAAAGTCCTTGAAACCTGTTCCTTAGTTGTAGAATGCACACATATCACATCTGCTACTTTGTTGGAGAAAAATATATTTTGTCTACACAGGCATCTGATTTTTATTTTTTAAATAAAGAGGGTTTCATGGATCCTTGAACAGTCTTAGACTCACTGTGTAGCTGAGGCTGGTCTCCATTTCTGATCCTCCTGCCCCTATTTCCCCAGTCCTGGGATTACAGGCATGCACCCTCATGCTTGGCTCAAAAGCACCAAACTTGTGAGGCAGACACAACCACAGCTCAAATCATACCAACCATGTAAATACTATACCTACACCACTTCTCTGCTCTGCATGCTACCCTTCCTCCTCCTTCCCCACCCCAGTCCTAATAATCACCATGGGCCATGAGTCATGTCACTAACACTGACACATAGTAGATCCTTGGTCACAATTGCTCCCTGGGTTTCTCCATCTCTCTAAGGTGTTGCCAGAGTCACACACTCTCTCCAACTAGAGCTTTGGGATGGAGAACCCCTTCTGTTGATTCTGATAGCCTATCGTCCTTCCCTGCCTTGGGCATTAGCCCAGCCAACTTTGAAAGGAGACATTTCTCTCCTGAACATGCACGTATCCAAACCCAGACTTCAAGCTCCTGGGAGAGGTGGAGTCCACCTCATGCTCCAAGGCCTTGCCATTCTTACCCACCAAACGTCGTGAACTCTAGAGCTGGCATTGATCCTAGCAGACCTGCAATCAACAACGATCATGCTTAAAGGGATGTGTCCGACCCTTTGATAACAGGTCACATGTTGTCATCTACAAAGCTCATGCCTGATAACAACCAGGAAAAGAAAATCACAAAAGAAGCTAGTAATATTTTCAGTAAGTTTTGTGCTGGGCTGGATTCAGAGCTATCCTTGGCTACCTGAGGTCCGTATGGATGGACATAACTGATAGAACTCTTTGAAGACAAGACACAATGGCTATAGAGCAGTGGTCTCAACCTTCCTCATGCTGTGACCCTTTAATACAGTTCTTCATGCTGTGGTGACCCCCAACCATAAAATCATTTTCGTTGCTACTTCATAACTGTAATTTTGCTACTGTTATGAAATGTAGTGATGTAAATATGTTTTCGCAATGGTCTTAGTATCCGATATGCAGGATACATGATTATGTGATCCCTGTGAAAGATTCCTTGGACCATCAAAGTGTTTCACCCACAGGCTGAGAACCGCTGAGATAGCGCAAGCTAAGCAAGAAAGCAGCACTAAAATGTGAATCAGCTTGGCTCTGAACTGGACTCTCTGTAGACCTTGGCCTTGTAGACCAAGCCTAGGCTCCACCTCTATAATACTGCATTCCCTGCCCAGAGCATGGCCTGAGCCCATGTGGCTAGGACCGGAGTTAGTCACAATGTCAACAAAGGCTGACTTAGGGGCAATGTGGGTCAAGGGTCATACTAGGAAAGCAGACCCCTTAGGGTATCCAGCGTGTTGGAGCCATAAGGTGGGAGATCTTCCCTGAGGTTCTCAGGGGACAGCAAGCAGGAGGAACTGTAGGACAGCCTGGGCAGCTGAAACTGGCCTTACTAACACAGTGTCCATATTGACAGCTCTGGGAAGGAAAGATCCAGCCTTAGGCATCCCCAGCTCGCATGGACTCACTGGTGACCAGACAAAAGGAGAAGCAGCAGTGAGATTTCAATTTCCTGTTTCCTCACCGTTGTGTGGAGTGTCTTTTCCCTTCACATTTGGGGTTCACAGCAGTATCCAGGGCCTACCATCTGGCCCCGTGCCAACTCACAAGACTCCAATTCACTCCGGTGGGAACAGGGTTAGACTTTTGTCAGGCTTTCTACGGTTGGGTCAAACTACTCAGGAGATCTGTGCCCACAATCTGCCAAGGCTTCGTTTTGCAAAACTGCCCTCTCTGCAGAAAGCACAACCTCAGTGACTGTCACCAAGAGTCACTGAGGAGAACAAGGAGAGCCTTCACTCCAGACACACAGATGTGGACCCGGGAGCCCCTCTCTAAAAAGGCTGCAAATGTTTTTTTCTCTATGACAGAAAAAGTCTTGAATGAGCATTTGGGTTTTCGAATCAGATATGCAAATAAGCTAATAACAATTTTTAAAATGCAAAACAATCTTCAGTGATTTTGGCAAAGCCTGTGATTTGTGAGTTCCTGCTTCCAGGAGGAAACAGATTTACAAGGTAGAAGGAAGTGGGGATGCTGACTCTCAGGCCTATTTTCATTTTCCACTGAAGTCCTGTTTCCTTTTGATTTCGTACACACAAGGAAAGGCCAGTCCTGTTATTGCAGATAACCTAGGTCCTCGGGGGTACATTAATTTATCTAAATAGGTCTCTAATAAACCACTCAGCGTTCCCAAAATATTGCTCCCCAGCTAGTAACGAGGATAATAGTAGATAACACTTTATTGAGCAGATGTTACACAACACTTACTAAGCACTCGGCACACAGCAGGACTGTGAGGTGTAGCTCAGCATGCCCTGGATGGAGAAAAGGCATGCCACTGGCTGCCTAGACCTGCCCCACGCTAGACTCCTACTGCTGAAGAAAAGACAATCATCAGGATGACAAGGGGGTTGTGTGAATGTGTGTGCATCCAGTATTATTTCTGGTTTTGTTACCAAGGACAAAAACTAGACTACAGTCACATATAGGAACAGATGAAAAGTTTCTGTACCCTGATAAGCCTCTCCGCCAATGTGATAATCTGAATCAGACCAAATTAGAAAAAAGCCCAGGTTTAATGGATACCAATGCTCATGGATGGCTTTCTAGCCCCCCACTCCCCAGAGAGGAGCCGTGGAAGGAAGACTGGAAAACCATGTGTTTGTTCTCTGGGGTGCAGTTTAAATACCCTGTGGGAGTACTCTTGAGAATCTCTGGGGAGGGGTCATTGTTTGGCAGACTTTCTCAGGGGTGGAGTCTGGACTGCAGCAACTCCCAGGGAAGGGGACTTGGGAAGGAACTTCCATCTGAACATTCCAGACTCTGGCTACATGGATGCCAGGGACTGGGGTGACACGTCCACCCAGTTACATTGTTTCCCAATTCTGGAATATTGTATAGTCATGAAAATCAAGCTTGTTAGGGGTCTGGGATTGGATTCCCAAAATTGTTAAGAAAGTCAGGATGGAGTCAGACAGTTATGGTGTATGCCTTTAATCCTAGTACTCGGGAAACAGAGGCAAGAGGATCTCTGTGATTTCGAAGCCAACCTGGTCTTCAGAGTGAGTTCCAGGACAGCCAGGACAGAGAAACCCAGTCTCGAAAAACAAAAGAAAACAAGCAAATAAAAAAGTCAGGATGGAGCTAGGGATACAGCTCAATTGAGGGTGTTTATTTATCATGCACCAAGTCCTGGGTTTAGCCTCTGGTTCTGCATAAACTGGGCATGGCGACACATGCCTATAATCTCAGCACTCTGGAGATGTAGGCAGAAAGACCAGAAGTCACAAGACTGTCTCAAAAACAACAGAACACAAACAAGCAAACAAAGCCGCAAACCAATACCAACCATTGGTGCAGCAGGCCAGGCGCGTTGGCACACACCTTTACTGCCAGGACTCGGGAAGTGGAGTCAGATGCATCTCTTTCTCTACAGTGAGTTCCAGAATTGTCAGGGCTATGTAGAAAGACTATCTCAAAAAACAAACAAGCAAGCAAGCAAACAGCAAAGTCATAGATACAGCAGAGGAGGTATAGTGGAAAGAATAGCTGTTATTCTAAATAATAGCAAAACTACCACTCAAGAAGGCATGAAAAAAAAAAAACACTTTTTAAAATGACTGGAAGTCTCATGTTTCTATGAGTATGTGCTTAAAGCTCTACACCCATCCACTTCTCCTATGGTTGTGGTGCTGTGCAGGGTACATTCTCTGGCTGTATTGCTGTGCAGGGTACAGTCTCTGGTTGTGTTGCTGTGCAGGGTACATTCTCTGGCTGTGTTGCTGTGCAAGGTACAGTCTCTGGTTGTGTTGCTGTGCAGGGTACATTCTCTGGCTGTGTTGCTGTGCAGGGTACAGTCTCTGGTTGTGTTGCTGTGCAGGGTACATTCTCTGGCTGTGTTGCTGTGCAGGGTACAGTCTCTGGTTGTGTTGCTGTGCAGGGTACATTCTCTGGCTGTGTTGCTGTGCAGGGTACATTCTCTGGCTGTGTTGCTGTGTAGGGTACATTCTCTGGCTGTGTTGCTGTGCAGGGTACAGTCTCTGGTTGTGCTGCTGTGCAGGGTACAGTCTCTGGTTGTGCTGCTGTGCAGGGTACAGTCTCTGGTTGTATTGCTGTGCAGGGTACAGTCTCTGGTTGTGCTGCTGTGCAGGGTACAGTCTCTGGTTGTATTGCTGTGCAGGGTACAGTCTCTGGTTGTGCTGCTGTGCAGGGTATATTCTAGTTGCCACTATGGCTGTCAGAGACACACTGTATGTCTGGCTCTGGCAGGAAGCATGCTGTCAGAAGGCCAGACTGACGGAGTGGGGTCAAAGAAGAAGCAGAGGAAAAAGGACTCTCAACACATCAGGCTACACAATACATACTGTTTACGTGTGTGAGAAATTAGGTCAGTTACTAGTAATGAAAATATTAGAAAAAAAAGCCAGGGATTTAGATACTTTTGAACACCCCTGTGAAATAGCCGCTCCTTCCCATTTTATAAATAAGGGTATTGACCATTGGCTCTTCAAGGCCACGTGATAAATCAAGGCTGTCTGATTCCAGGGTTTAAATTCTTTTCCTGAAAGCACAACACACAGTTGTGGTAAGAAAACAAAACAAAATAAAACCTCAACTAGTCTACTGAAGTTCAATGGTGCTGATATAACCCCTGAGCACCAGAAACTGCTGTTAAAACTGGAGCAAGCAGCCCCACAGCCCTTTCTCTGTGTGTGTACACCCACTTACCTTATGGCAGTATCAATCTACTGTTGAGGTTTGGGGGTCACCTGCACTCTTAAAGGAAGCCATGTTTCCATGCTTGCTTATTCTAAAAGGTGGAAGATCCTAGACAGGAAATAAGGTTGGCCTTAGGGAGGAAGAGGCGGGCCCAGGACCTACCTTTGTTCTGTCCAGTGTGGTTCTTATGGAGGGAACCATTGAGACCACCAGCTCACCACAGTGCAATGATGAGGCCACTAGCCTCTGAAGGAACAAGCCCCAGGTCAGCTGTAGATGAACCACGTCTTCACACAGAGGTCAGAGAAGACTGCTCTGGGCAGTCTGAGGCTTATAGTGCCTGTGGTGGCCACACAGTGTCTTAGCTGTATGTTTCGATAAACACCAACCTCTTCTGTGCAACTGCAGGGTGGAGAGACAGACAGACAGACAGGATCCCCTCTAGAAAATGAAAACACAACCTGACACAACCTCTGGCACACAATAAAATCAGTCCTATGAGGAAATTTATAGCTCTAATTGCCCACCTTAAAAAAAACTATCTCAGGGAGGCCGAGGCAGGCAGAGCTCTGTGAATTCTAGGCCAGCCTTTTCTACATAGTGAATTCTAGGACAACCAAAGATATACAGAGATACCCTGTGTTTAAAAAACAAATAATAACAAGAAACAACAAAGTCTAAGAGCTCAAATAATTGGCTTTCCCACAATTCAAAAATTCTGGTGGTCCACTAGCCTTGCCACAGTTCCAGTCTCATTGCTGCGGGAGACCATCTGAAAGTGGCTCAGGATGCGGGTACCTCCCTCTTCCTCTGAAAGGACAACAGTCATATAGTCCTGTCCTAGCAACTGTGAAGCTTCTAGAGGGTCCCTAAGATGCTCCCGTGATTTAGAAAGAAGGGACTTGGTATTTCTCTCTGCCCAGATTGTCTCCGCACAGAGAAGAAAATGGGCCTCTGCCCTAGGAACAGCAGAAGAAGGCCATCTATTCAGGGGTTGGGGGAGGGGGGGCAGCTTCAAAGGACCCAGCCTTTGTTTAGAAGTGGCAGCAAGGACATGCATTGCTGATTTGCAGATCAGTCCCTCCATGCATCAGTACGGGGAATTGAACCGAGGACCTCATGCTATCGCTCTGAGCTCTATATTCCAGCCCTCAGATGAGCTCTTCTTCTTCTCTGGGTGGATGGGGAGCTCTTGGGTTAAGATATGAGTGTTAAGGAAGAGTGGCTTTTTTTGTACATCAAGCTGATGAAGTTACGTGTGTGTGCATGCGCGCGTGTGTGTGTGTGTGTGTGGTATGTATATTTAAAAGTACAACGTTATTCTTATTGGCTCCCTGCTTTAAATCTACCAGTATGGTTCCTTGCGATGAATTCCAAGCTCTTTCCCACAGGCTCCTAAAGAGCACTGTCCACATTCTCCTTTTCTCTTACACACCATACCACAGTGGCATGGAAGCCCTCCTGGTCTTTACCTGCGCTTTTGCCTAGAGTAATTCATGTGCCGGGCACCTACCTGGGCAGCTCCTATGCAGCCCAGAATCAGCTTATAATATCCCCTTGCCTAGGGAGCTTTTCCTTGAGCTCACTGTCCCCAGATTCAGTCTCTCCTACTCGGGACTCTGGATTCCCATCTCAGAGACAGGGCCCTCCCCAGAGTGCGCTTTGTCCCCAGCGGTTGGCTAGTGGTGTCCATTAGCACGCCTCATTGTCTGTCAGTTGTCTGAATGGTGAAGGTGCGGAATTTTATGCAGGGGGGTCATGCCACAGTTCCACATGCCTGTGCCTTTAACGATTATTGATGCTCACACAACAGAATTCACATCACTGCATCCCCGTGCGTGTAATTAGCCTTCATTAACCCCTCCCTACTGGATCCTGTTCCCTTTTACCTTCAGTGCCTAGCGTGCAGTAGGTGCACAAAACCACACCAAAACCTGCTTACTGTCTGGCCAAGAGAAAGGGTTCCAAGTCTTCCCACATCTTCTTTTCCATCCTTCACCCCACACCTGGCTCCTGCCCCTGCCTGGTTCATTCCACCGAGCCCCTAAGGTCCTTCTGAAAAGTTAGTTATCTCTATGAGCTGAGTGTGTCTCTCCTAGACAGAGGCAGGAGTTCATCCAGGGAGCCCCTGCACCTGATCGTTGGTGGTCCTGAGACAGTGTTTTCTTGCAAGTGTGAACTCTATCTGAAGTCTTCCCTCTCCCACTTCTCTGTGTTTAGTGAATGAGTGAGCTCAAGGACGGTTATATTTCCACTCTTTGAGACCTACCTGGTGAGACCCAAGATGAATTGCTGTCTGTCCTGCTTGACTGCTGTAGACCCACAGACTCTGGAAGTCTGGATCGCAGTCAAAAAAATCATTCAGCACACTGAAACAAGAGAGGGTTTTTGGTTTTGGGTTTTTTTTTTTTTTTTTTTTTGCCTGAGATGAAACTGAGGTCCCCTTGAGAAGGTCACACAGTCAGTTGCATAACAGTAGAGCTGGCTGAGCTATCAAGATTGATACTCGTGCATTTCAAGAGCTGTGAGTCATCGAAATCGTGCTCCTATTTCTGGTGTGACATAATGTACTTTTTGTTTCTCAACAAAATAATGTTGATGACTTAAAATTGTAAAGCACGGGCCTGGAGAGTTGGTCCAATAATAGCAGGCATAGGACCCTGGGTTCCGTTCCTTGGCAGGACAAAAAATAACAACAAAAAGAGAAAGAAAGAAAGAAAGAAAGAAAGAAAGAAAGATGGATGTAGTATTTTAGAGTTGACAGCATCTTGTAAAAATTTTTTTAAAAAAAGGAAAAGAGAGGAAAAAGAAAGACAGACAGACAGACATCAGAACTACTTGTGGTGTCACATATCAGAGTCACTAGGTTCCTAAGGGATGAATCGCCCCGTACGACTCCTATTTTCTGGCTCTGTATCTCTCACGCTTTCCAGGATGCATTATCTGCCTCCAGCAACACAATGAACGCTGGTTAAATATCGATTCTAGGCTCACTCATGGGAAAACACTAGCATTTCTAATCAGCATCATTGCTTCCTACTTCTAAGAACTTTCTGGAGGAGGAGTAGACCAGAATCTTAACATAAGAGAGCTGATAAGATCCAAAACAGGTTACCAGGAGAAACCCAAACATCTTGTCTGAGTGTTTGTACGCGTGAAAGTCGTGTCTGCAGCTACATGGGTACTTTAGGGCTTTCAAAAATTCAAGTGTGGGGCTGGGGAGATGGCTCTGGAGGTAAAGGCACTGGAGGGCATGAGTTCAGATCCCCCAGCATCCATGTAAATAGCTCTAACTTCAGGACTGGAAGAATCTCTGAAGCTCCACAGCCAACTTAGCTGAAAAAGAAGGCAATGCTCCAGATGCAGTGAGAGACCCTGCTTTAAGAGTAAGTCAGAGAGTGATGAAGAAGAGCATCCCTCTGTGTGCACATGCATACACATGTGCATATAGATGATTATACAGCAAACACACACACACACACACACACACACACACACAAACTGCAATTGTGCACAAAATAAGCAAATCTCCCAAACACAGTCTCTGTGCAGACCGTGACCCTGGAAGGTATTTGCTAATAAATTAGTATGGCTTATGAAAATATTTTTGTACCGCTGCTGGTGCATGCCAATAATCCTAGCAAGAAAAGTTCAAGGTCACCCTTGGCCATCAGCCTGAGCTACGTGAAACCTTATCTCAAACAAAACAAAAGCACCAACCAAAGATTTCTCACTCGGTGAAACGGTACTCACTAAACTAAATTCTCAGTCCCAAAAGATATGTGCCTAGCATGTCCAAGAACATGGGTTTGATCCCCGACACTAGAAAACAAAAACTCATGTGGTTAGTATTTCCAGATTGACTTTAAAGCCTTACATGTCTTTCTCATAACTAAATGTTCTCATCAGTTCCTTCACTTAAGAATAGAAGTTTACCAATGCCCAGGGCATAGTTTCCCAACTATATGCCAGTGAATAAAATACACAGACAGACACAACCTTCTCACGAAGTTTACATTTTTCAGCAGCAGAAGACATGGACAGAAACTGAACATTAAGTTAATATACCAGGTAACAACTGGTGAGGCAAAACAAAACAAAAAAACCATAAGGAGAGCAGCCTGGGGTGTCGGCAGCATGGGGTTGCTGAGATTTAAGATGAGCCTAGACTTTCTGACAAGAGACAGAGATCATGAAGATCTTCTGGGCCATTTTAACCTTGGTATCATGCACATTTTTTTTTTAAAGTCCTCCCAAAGAACTGCTATGCAGTGGGCTGTTTTTAAGATGGGTAAACGGCAGGAAGTAAACGTTTTCTGAAGTCCGGGGACATCTTTGTACATCCATGCTGGTCCACAACGTAGCAATGTCTTCAGGAGCTGAGATGGGGGCAGCTCAAGGGACTCTGAACCCTTCAATGTTCTCTTGTAAGCTATTTGTTTGCTAGCTTGTTTTTGCTTTGGTTCCTGTGGCCTCTGGCAGTTGTCTGTTCACGACTCTACACTTTCCACGGTTATGTGTGTATTATTGGTTTGTGAGAAGTGGGTCCCAAATAAAAACACTTGAACAAAACCCTAAAGGATTTTTTTCCCCCTGAAGGGCTTCTTAGTGCTCTGGGACACAAGTAGGGACTGGGACAGAAGTTGCTTTCGCCAGAGTTCAAGTGCCATACTTGCGCTGGAGGAGAAGCTCAAAGTTTAAGTGTCTCTCCGAACAGCAATTCTGGGGGACAAGATGTGGTGTACGGTAGTATTTTAGGGCTGGAGGACAGGTTCGCCTCCTCAGGTCCTTTCCGTCAAAAATGACAATTCAAAGCTGGCACCGTCCTGAATGACCTCTAATAAGAAGGCCTGCTGCGTTATGTGGGCCTTGGGTCTTTGATATCAGGCCAAAGTAAGCCGATGCGCCAGCTCGGAGTGCACAGCTGCCTCAGGCCCACCGGCTTCTGTACTCCAAGAAGCCTTACTGGGGGACAGAGAGCAAATGAGCCAAACTGAAGTGATCAAATTCCCTGTGGCCTCCCAGGAATGTTGTTCTCATCAAGGGTGAAGAGCTGTGAAGTAGGAGCTGTGGCCCCGGAAGGCCTCTGACTGGACTAATCCCATGATTTGACGCATGAGGAAACTGAGGCCTGAGAAGAGAAGGGTCATAGCTAAGCTTACATTGTGAGCTACATCTCTATCAAACAGCTCTCTGGATCTCACAGTGGTTTTGCATTACTATAATTTTTTTCTTTAATGATTTTATTTTTTATTAATTTTTTTATTATTTTTACGTGCATTGGTGTTTTGTCTGCGTGTGTGTCTGAGCGAGGGTGTCAGATCCCCTGGAACTGGAGTTACAGACAGTTGTGAGCCACCATGTGGGTGCTGGGAATTGAACCCAGGCTCTCTGGAACAGCAGCCAGTGCTCTTAACTGCTGAGCCATCTCTCCAGCCCTGCCTTACTCTTCGTACTGTTAATGTTTTACCCATTTTTCTCCATGCTTGCCTGAGATCCTACAGAATTATTGTTCTTGTTCAAAGCCAGGTAACATTTTCTGATGAGATGGTTTTGTGGGGAAGGGCTCTTGCTGCCAAATCTAATGATCTGAGTACAATCTCCAGGTCCCACATGGTAGAAGGGGGGAACTGACTCCTGCAAGCTGTCCTCATGTGTTCTGTGACTTCCACATGTGTACTGTGGTGCATGTCACCCCCCACCCCGACCCCCGAAGTATACACACATACACCATGTCTTAGTTAGGGTTCTATTGCTGTGATAAAGCAACTTGTGGAGCAAAAGGTTTGTTTCAGCCTACAACTTTCAGGTCACGCTCTGTCACCGAGGAAATTCAGGGCTGGAACTCAAGGCGGGAAGCTGGAGGATTGCAAACTGGCTTGCTGCCCATGACTTATTCAGTATGCTTTCTTATAAACCTCAGGAATACCTGCCCAGAAATGGCACCAACCCTGTGGACTGGTCCCAAACACATCAATCATTAATCAAAAAAATAAATAAATAAACACTACTGCCAGGCATGGTGTTGCACGCCTTTGATTCCAGCACTTGGAAGGCAGAGGCAGACAGATCTCTGTGGGTTTAAAGCCAGCCTAGTCTACAGAGTGAGTTCCAGGACAGCCAGAGCTGTTATACAGAGAAATACTCTCTTAAAAAACCAACCAACCAACCAACCAATAAACAAACAAACAAAACCAAAACAAAAAAAGAAAATAAACCCAAAAACCCAAAAAATGCATTATAGACTTGCTAATGATCTGGCAAAGGGGCATTTTCTTTTCTTTTCCTTCCTTCCTCTCTCTCTTCTTTTCTTTTCTTTTTTTCTTTTGGGTTTTCGAGACAGGGTTTCTCTGTAGTTTGGAGCCTTCTTGGAACTCTCTCTGTAGAGCAGGCTGGCCTCAAACTCACAGAGATCCACCTGCCTCTGTCTCTCGATTGCTGGGATTAAACACGTGCATCACCAGCTACCCGACTCAGAGGGTCATTTTCTCTTCCTTCCTTTCTTCCTTTCTTTTGAGAGAGGGTCTCATTATGTAGTTATGTAGCTCTGATTGTCCTTGAACTCACTATGTAGACCAGGCTGACCTCAAACTCACAGAGATCCACCTAGCTCTGCCTCTTAAGTACTGGGAAGAAAAGTATGTGCCACCGTGCTAGGCATGAAGGCATTTTCTCAATTGCGGTTCTTCCTCACAGATAACTTTAACTTGTGTCAAGTTGAAAAACTAAAATCCCACATGCTAAAAATTAAATAACAATGAAATTTTTTAGATGTATATTTGTGCAATAATTTAAAACTTGTCTTTCTTCTTATTTTCTTGCCTTTGTCATTGCTGCAAATGAACAGACTTTGCAATGCATAAGAGAATAATGGCAGGAACAAGTACTTTGCCAAGATTCAAATAGTGCCCAAAATACTCCTTACCAAATGGTTGCCTCACCCGGTAAATCTTTACCCGTTCCTAATCTGGGAAGAAAAACCTGCAAAGAACAAAATCACATAGCGAGAAGACAGCTGCTACAGGGACATGAGAATTGAGCCCAGTGTGTGTCAACAGGGAGCAGAAGACACAGGAGCCCTCCTGCTCGTTTGCCTTCTGGGGCTTGACAGACTCTGCTCTTTGTACCATCAGTGCATCTGCCTGAATTAAGATTCTTCATCTGTGTCTTCACCCTAGAAACCCAGCTTCTTCCTTTACAGGCAGCTTTGGTTTTGGCCACATTTCTTCTGGTCACCGTAACTGTCAGTTTTCTGCCTTCCTCCCTTACTCATTCCAAATGGCTTCTCCAGGCCCACTTTTCAGTCTGTCCTATAAGATGCCCTCCCAGTTGCCCTCGGCCTATCTCATTGGAATTGTTGCGTGGTTCT